TAATTCATGAAACTGAGATTGGGCATGTCTGGGATCAATATTGAGGGAGATTTAAGCGAAAAAATTCTTTTTGGGGGGGGGGGCTATGACTCTGACTAGCTATATTTACCTTAATGTAAGCTGCACAGAAGTGGTCCTCATATTGTTCTAAAGCTATTGTCCAGCTCTATAGATTGAACATATAATATGCCATCCCAATATAAATAACTACTATGTAATAACTGATTAAAATATTAAAAATTCAATAACAAAAAACCTATATTTCAAACTTGATCAGTATTTTACTTAAGCTAGCTCATGTCATGAACATCCAGAAAATTTGATCTTTGGTTTTTAAGTAATCGTTCAAAATAACACTAAAGCATACTTTATCAATTAGGCACATAAACATAGCCAGTTTGCTGGTATTGATGCTTTAACAACAAAGCAAGTACTCTTTTAAAAAAACGACTTAGCAATAACACAACCAGTTAAGTAACTGGGTTGAGTACTTCGGACTCAATGCAGAATCCCCTCCAAAAAGAGTATGTGGTTTTAATCAGGAGACTAATTGCATGCATATACTGCCTGTAAACAAGTTACAGAAATTATTCTCCTTTATGAAAGAACTTTTGAATTTTAAGGTTTACAATACATATTCACACAACCCAAATAATCACATCACTAACATGATACATACACCTCTACTGCATTCAACACAAAAACTGACCTCTTGTCCTTGGCACTGCGCACCACCCTCTTGGTGTCCTCTTCATCGTCGCTTAGCAGCAGAGACCTGAGGAAAACAGCAGAGTGAGAAACAGCAGAGGTGGCACAAAAGGGCAGCTGGAGGAACCCAGGTGATGGGCAGACACTAACTGTTTAGTGAAGGTGGTCCCAGTGGTTTTGGCAATGACCTCTTCCCCAGATGAGGACTCCTCCGTCTCACTGTCAGATCCAGTCGCAAAGAAACGAGACATTGCTGTAGGAAGCTGATGCTGTAAAGAAACAAACTACCATCAATACACTAAACCCCGATTTTTGCTTGACATGTGAAACTGAAATTTAACATCCATGTGCAAATTCAGTTGTGTGACAGAGTGGAGAAATATGACCCACTATACTAAGCACATTGCATTAGCAAGGAAGCCATGATATTTTCACTGAAGGAAGGGATTCTTTCCTGTGACAGATTTTCTCAACAAAAAATATTTATCGATGACCGATACCTCTGACGGCATGCATTTATGTAAGGCTCACCTAAGCTTTAAAGCTAACATCGTTTTAAGGTTTTATTTAAATATTATTACTGTTGTTGTTATAATAATAAATAATAATAATAATCGTGTATATTCATATATTTTATTACACTTAATGTTTCACATATTCATTCATACTCATATAAACATTTTAAAATGAATAAGCTGCACATTTAATTTCGTGGTAACTGTAATTAAAGTTGTCTCTTTCAAGTCCACAACAAAAAGTGGCAGAAGATTTTTAAAGACCACACCCTTAATATTAATTTTAACAACATTACTTTTGGCCAAAATTCAGCCTGACAGCTTCCTTACTACCGAACATTACACATTCGGACACTGAGTCCCCATTGCAGTTTTCATGCCAGCTAAATGAACTTAGCTAGGACCTAAACTCCTCGAACAAATAACTCATCCCGACACGACTCTTACGATTTGCTCACACTCCAAAACATGGAGAAATAACGCTCTTTACATTTTCAAAAACGACTGGGAAATGCAATTAAAATTACTCGGTACCATCATATGCCAAGGAGCTAACCAATATAAAGCTAAAAGGCCAATCTAACTAGAATAACGAGAAATCAACCTCAACAAATCTCAGGGAGCAATCTTAATGACGCAGCAATCGTATAACATAATCAACCCTATAAATTCAAAACGTATGCAATTATAAAAAAGTGGAATTTACTAAGCTGAACTGCATATGCTAAGTGCACGCGCTTTATCTGCGCAGCCGACAGGCCTGGACATCTACATGGCTGATAAAGGCCAGGCACAGCACCGGCACCGCGCCTAAACACCGCATACCCTCCAGCGCTCATAGGGAACCACAATTCGAGGACTCGACCTCACCTGCGTCCACAAAAAATGCTGTCAATCCGTGAGCAAAGAAGATTTTAAAACGCGCGTACTGATATTGCCTATTAGTCTTAAGGATGCGTGTGGGGAAACGCTGCTTGAGCGGTCGGACGCTCGGCGGAAGAGGAAGTGACGGACACGCGCGCATACTGCTGGGGACTGCCGGTGAAAAACGCAGATAATCATGGGGATCGCTGTGACGGAGTATATCGCTGTGTTATGTACGTTGAATTATATATATATATTAATATTAATTAATTCACCCTTATATTAAGGTGAAAATCATGCTATCCATGGTCCTTGGTTAACTTTTCGTATGCCTAATATTTCCATTTAATGTTATAGAGCACTGAGATGCACTTGTTACCATTCCGGATATTCTAATTATTAATTGGGCTTTTGACCGAATTGACATTTCTGAAATATTATCTGCATTTATGGCACAAATAGTTTTTATTTCTCTTAAAATGAACACTCTAATATAATTAGTGTCAGACATCCCACCTTAGGGATATTGATGTCAAGGAGGCAGATGAGTAGTATCGGAGAGGGCAGTGGTGTTGGCTGGCATTTCGGTAATACTGTGTGTATGTGTGTGTGTGTGTGTATATATATATATATATATATATATATATATATATATATATAATTATTTTATTTTTTCCGGACTGAGGTATGGACGGGTGAGTAGGACATCAGTGGAACTTCTTGCTGCCTTATTTTACCACCAATGAATAGCAAAATCACAGATTTTCAGGACGTTGCACATCATTTGCGGAAGAGATGAGATGTACACTCACCTAAAGGATTATTAGGAACACCATACTAATATGGTGTTTGACCCCCTTTCGCCTTCAGAACTGCCTTAATTCTACGTGGCATTGATTCAACAAGGTGCTGAAAGCATTCTTTAGAAATGTTGGCCCATATTGATAGGATAGCATCTTGCAGTTGATGGAGATTTGTGGGATGCACATCCAGGGCATGAAGCTCCCGTTCCACCACATCCCAAAGATGCTCTATTGGGTTGAGATCTGGTGACTGTGGGGGTCATTTTAGTACAGTGAACTCATTGTCATGTTCAAGAAACCAATTTGAAATGATTCGAGCTTTGTGACATGGTGCATTATCCTGCTGGAAGTAGCCATCAGAGGATGGGTACATGGTGGTCATAAAGGGATGGACATGGTCAGAAACAATGCTCAGGTAGGCCGTGGCATTTAAACGATGCCCAATTGGCACTAAGGGGCCTAAAGTGTGCCAAGAAAACATCCCCCACACCATTACACCACCACCAGCAGCCTGCACAGTGGTAACAAGGCATGATGGATCCATGTTCTCATTGTTTACACCAAATTCTGACTCTACTATTTGAATGTCTCAACAGAAATCGAGACTCATCAGACCAGGCAACATTTTTCCAGTCTTCAACTGTCCAATTTTGGTGAGCTCGTGCAAATTGTAGCCTCTTTTTCCTATTTGTAGTGGAGATGAGTGGTACCCGGTGGGGTCTTCTGCTGTTGTAGCCCATCCGCCTCAAGGTTGTGCGTGTTGTGGCTTCACAAATGCTTTGCTGCATACCTCGGTTGTAACGAGTGGTTATTTCAGTCAAAGTTGCTCTTCTATCAGCTTGAATCAGTCGGCCCATTCTCCTCTGACCTCTAGCATCAACAAGGCATTTTCGCCCACAGGACTGCCGCATACTGGATGTTTTTCCCTTTGCACACCATTCTTTGTAAACCCTAGAAATGGTTGTGCGTGAAAATCCCAGTAACTGAGCAGATTGTGAAATACTCAGACCGGCCCATCTGGCACCAACAACCATGCCACGCTCAAAATTGCTTAAATCACCTTTCTTTCCCATTCTGACATTCAGTTTGGAGTTCAGGAGATTGTCTTGACCAGCACCACACCCCTAAATGCATTGAAGCAACTGCCATGTGATTGGTTGATTAGATAATTGCATTAATGAGAAATTGAACAGGTGTTCCTAATAATCCTTTAGGTGAGTGTATATTATGTTCAACAGTCCTGAACAATCAACTGGTAAACTCAAATTTGCACCACTACTTGAGTGAACAACAAAAAGTCTTTAATTTACAGATTTACTCATTATTCTACTTACATGATCTACATCCCAGAGGACAAGGGCCAGAGCTGAGCAGTTGCTACAGGACTGGCTTTTCTGAACTAAACTTTTGTCCCCACAGAACAAGCTCATTCTTGTTTTGTAAACAGATAGCACTGTTGCCTAACACCACTGTGTGAGGCAGCTGCACGCAGTTACGCCAACCAACATCCTACTTTGTCTGTGTGATTGTGCCTGCAATGGACTGGTGTCCTGTTCAGGTTATTGGTATCACTTGGAAGCCTTGTTCCCCTTGGGACAGGCTCTAGGCTTACCCATAACCCAGACTAGGATAAGCAGCTAAAAATGAAAGGAACACAGCTCAAACAATGTATATTTTTTCCCCTTTTCAACACTGAAGCTGGCACTACTATATTTTAATAGAAAGTGGGGATGTGAGACACGAAATGGTAATTATAACTGATAGGTTAACTTGATAAAACCAAACAGCGCTGAATAATCTACATCACTGTTCAAAGGTTTGGGATCACATAGAAATTTCACATGGAATAGCCTTTACTTCTCAGTACAAGAATAGGCTGCTGAGTTTCAGAAGTTATGCATTTCTGCCCAGTTTGAGCTTCAACGTGTAGCTCTTGCTCCAGTGCTGCTTACACTAGACATTCATTGGAAGCTCAGCTGCACTTGTACCCAGATTCTTCAAGAGCACACGTTTGCAATGCGCCATTTGTCTCACTTATATACGTCGCTACAAAACCATCTGCTCAATAAAAGTAAATGCAAGTAAAAAATAACCGATAAAGAAGCTACAATTATTTTAAAAAAAGGTACAATTTATTTTCACAGATCAATAAAAGTCAATGATTCCTATGGAAAGATTGGTCAATGAAATGGGAATAAGTTCTCAGTTTGGTTGTTTCCACTTGTCTGAACTTGCTGAATGCAGAGCTACATAGCAGTTCTGCAGTTGTTCCACCACAAATACTGCTGTCAGCCCAAAAACTGCTGACTGACGCACTTGTACCACTATATGTTTCAGACACCAAATCAGTAACATGACCAAACTGAAAATCATCCAGTTGCCTTTTTCTCACAGGCCAAAGCAAAGATGTTCAAAGGAAACAAATGCAAATGGTCGTGCCACTCCACCTTGACATTCTGCAGTCACTTATATCAATCTCTGCAATCTCATTTGCTGCCAGTTACCATCACTTACTTCTTTGAAAATGCTAGGATACTGCAGAATAGGGGCACAGAAGACATACGCAAGTATAACATTGACAGACTGGTTTTACAACAGTAGCACGAGTGAATGATGGTGAATATAGAAAGGTATGTAGAATGTTGGGGACAAACCACAAGAGGAAGAATATCTAATATAGAGGTAGAACAAGAGAAGAGACTGCGGCATAAGAGGACAATATAAAGAAACAGTGCAGTGGGAAAGATGCACAAATATTAGAGTGTTCTCCTGCGGTCTATGTTGACTGATTCTTAATCTTAGGTCACAGAAAGTAATCAGCCACTGGCTTTTTGGAAGGGATGCCTCTTGTTTCCTGTGGTGCAGCTTCAAAAATAATGAATTCTTTTTGCAGATGTTCATCCAGCTCCAGTATTGCTGCTACATTCCCACACCTGAGAGAGACAAACAATTCATTCTAAACAATTAAAAGAGCTCAAATACAAAACAGTTGATGGCCATGACCACAGCATATAGCAGGTAAGAAAGATGGTACCTGTAGCAGTAGTTTGGTGCTGACCACACTGTCAGCACAGTTTCATTGAAGTGCCACTTATACCCTTCCATAACAAGCTGGTGGGCCCTGCAGATCATGTCAATGTCGTTTGCAGCATTAAACTGGGCAACAACGTCACTACCAAACAGATATCCAGCACCTCTTGGACTCACACCCCACCCTGTTGTGTCTGAAAGAGAAAAATGAGGGTGGGGGGCAATGGTACATATGAATATATAAAGGGGATGATTTCTGAACATTGTATAGCAATGTCGAGGGAGGGGGTTCTTACCTTCTGGGTCAGACCATAGCAAGTCACACATAGGCCCATCATGTGGGACCTCCTGCTTCCTGTCAATGGTTCTTATTTGGTCCAGAGTTTGTATAGATGGGGAGAGCCCACCATGCACGCAAAATATCTGAGGATGCAGGGATGGAGAAGTCTGTCACTGATAATACACACACCCAATTATAGGATAATACAAACTGAGGCCAGTAAAATTCGATTTCCATGTCTTGCTCTATACATTCTTGGAATTGTGATCAAGGGTATTAGTTTACATTTTTTGTAGATTTTTTTTTTTTTTGTAAATCAAATCATTAATTTAAATCATTAGACCGCAGATCATTATGGACAGGAGAAACACTAACCTTCCCGTCAATAATTGCAGAGAGAGACAAGTAGTCGAAGATCTCTGTACAGTATCGCCACACAGTCACAGACCCATATTTCCTTAGGCACTCATCATAAAAGCCATACACCTGTGTAATCTGCCTGGATTCATGGTTCCCTCTTATCAGTGTGATTCTGTCTGGATATCGCACCTGAAATTTAGGACAAGGGTTAATGAAAGGTGTTTAATAGGAAAATGAAGCAGCCTGCTCAAGTTAGTAAATGAACAATATCACACCCCAAACCAACGTGGATTTAGACTTAGCCATATCCAAAATCTATATTCTGCAGCAATGTCAGTACAATAATTTGTAGGGATGAGCCGATCCACATTTTTACAGTTCCGATCCGATTCCGATGCAAGAGCTATTCTTACTTTGTTATACTTTATATATTAATTTTTTAAGCTAGTAAATAGATGGAAAAAATGTATGCCAAAAAATATTTAATTAGGCTACTACAAACATACATAATGTACTGTTCACCTCATTTGTATTGTGATAAGTGTTTAAGTGTTTGAGGCATTTGCATTGAAGATATTCATATTGAACTGCAAGTATACACAAGTGGCGAATGCTTAAAATTAACACAAATTTTCTCCCATTGGAGTCAGCTGATTAACACTTTTTTGCGATGGCAGCCCCTGTTGTATCACAAGCTGCAGCAAGTTCACAAAACTGTCCAAGTCAGCGACTCCAAAATCAACCATTGCTTTTTTTTGTCTTGCACAGTTGCATGCGCTTTGTTAAGTGGGATTGTCCATTAAATGCTATTCCCACCTCTCAAAACTTTTTATAAAGATTACAAATCACTGTGCTACTGGTTTCCGTTAAAAGTGTAAAATACTCCCAGATCGCCACGTCCTCGTACTGCGAAGGGTATGCGCATGATGTCACAGCAGGCGGAAGTGACTGTACTCACACCCACCGAGTAGCAAAAAAGACTGAGGGGCAGCGTTAACCTTTGATTTGAATGCTGCAAATAAACACATGTAAAATGGGAAAGAGCTGTCGTGCGACTGATTGTACAAATAGATTTAACACGAAATAGGAGTTCTTTTTAGAGATTGGCAAAAACTAAATAAGTAAGCATAGGACGTGGATCGGTCACGCATGGCCGATACCCGATCCATCAAATAGGTGTGGATTGGCGCCGATAATTTGTTTTGAAAGTACCATACTGGACCAAATATAAGTTCGTGTTTTCCCCCCCAAAACATTAGATTTAAAAAAAAAAAAAAAAAACTGGTGTCATCTTGTATTCGAGGACCCAAAATTTTATGTCATTACACACATACAGCAGTAGATGGCACAAATTGTCCACCTAAAGGTGACCGCATACTTCAAATGTAAGACGTTTTAGCAATACGTCATGAGCGATGATTCCACAGCCTGGCCATGCTTGACTAACAATGTGATGCCGCAGAGTTGTTCAGAAGGGCTAATTATGCAGTTACCCGCATGCTTTGCACCACGTATATTTTTGGGTTGCCTGTTAAATTAAACCAGTAGTGGCTGTCACTTGAGTAACTCATTTTACAACTTTCACCTTTATTAAACTGACTCAACCACTCCCCACAATACGTTCTTGCTTTCTTTATGGGGGTCTGCTGTATCGAAAACATTCTGTGCTCTCTACGTTTCTGGAGTTTGTAGTATTGACCATGTATCCCATTTCCCACTAAATATTTGTTTTTTGTTATGTTTTCTGTTTAACACACCAATGTGAAAGCTGATTGCAACTGCCCGTGATTGCTTTTTATCAGGGATGGTTCTTGTATGATTTTGTCTTTTTTTTTTTATTTTTATTTTTTTTAAGTAGAATAATCTGGTATTACGAAAACCTTTCAAAAATGGTTCTGTAAAAGTGGTGGGTTTTATATTCAGGTGAATACAAAAATTCTTTTCTACAGCATTACTACAGTGAATGGATATGGATTCTGTTTTATTAAACAAAAATGTATAAATCTCATACTACCAATTATGAAATGAAATGTAGTACATGTGAAGACCTCATGTGAAGAATCCTTTCAATGTAAGTGTGGGAACATGACTGCCAAGTTACCTTAAGAGCAAGGAGAAGGAGAAACGTCTCCACACTGTAGAATCCGCGGTCCACAAAATCACCCATGAAGAGGTAATTTGTCTCTGGGACATCACCACCAACCTGTTAATGGACAATTGGCAAATTATGGTTTTCCAGTAGTACATAATGATTTAATGAGAAATAATGTTTCAGAACAATACTACCATAGCTGCATTGAGATTGTTAATCCCACCCCTACTTAAAAACTGTATATCAGGATGTGGACAAACAGATGCATATGCAAATGTAAAATTTTCCTTCTCAACCAGCTTTGTGACTTTGCACTTAATTGCAGGATTGGAAATAAAACCACCGCAGGACTCCAGGTCCTGTTATACCTAGATTGCATAAAAATCAACGAGCACTGAGTACTTGAGCAAGGGAATGCCAAGCAATATCTACAAGGACTGAGAAAATACCCAAAAGCACCTTGCCCTCCGATGATAAAACCATTACAAATGTGGCCTTTCTGATACACACACAATGGACCCAGAGTCAAGCTACCGTGTTTCTCAACAAAAATGCTTTGTGTATTCATTTGTTGCTACCAAAGGACACAAGTTGCTTAATATCTCTCTCTCTCTCTCTCTCTCTCTCACACACACACACACACACATACACACACACACAGAAATTATACTCCATTATGGCAAAAGACAAACCTACTATTTTCAAAACTTATAACGAAGCAAACTTGGAAAAATGAAAATTTAAAAAATCCAAACCCAGGAGTATGGGAAAATCACTGTACTTACTCTGAACAACTCCTTCAGGTCATAAAACTGCCCATGGATATCACCACATACCTGACATAGTGGGGGAGAAAATACTTTACTTACATTACTGAAAGATACCATACTCAAGGGCGGGTTAAAAAAAAAAAAAGCACTACTTACAGTGACTGGAGAGTCCACTCTTTGAACATTGCTTTCTTCAACAAGTATCTCCCTAGAAACACAAGCGCACACACATATACACAGCATTAAAAAAAAATCCAAATGTGAATTACACATAAATCCACATATGAATAATGAAGGACCAGGCACAATCAGTCACTACACTTTTTTTTTATTGAAGGAAGAACTTCAAAGGGGTCTGACAGCAAACACAATGTAATCTGGATGTACAAATGGCTCAAATATATATATGATGCATTTCCTGGTTTGAACATTCTTGCCCAAGCATACAAGGTAATATTTGAATGGAAATAAACATCAGCAATAAATTAAACGTACACATGGTTTCCATACAAAAAAAATTAATTACCTGGCTTTGGCACACAGAGCCTTCACCTCATTTTCTTTGATGAGCTCGCACCGCCGGAGCTGGTCAATTTGTCTGTCTAAGTCACTAATGTCCCCCATAGTGAACAACAGATGGACAGCACCTCACCCACGTCACCGATTCAAAATTTGTGTTGAACAGGTACACCAGCACTGTCTCATTGACATACAAACAAGCACAGTTACTTTCCAACTCACAAACACCGATTACTGACTACCTCCGACTAAAATTAAAGATTAAACGCAAAGGAGAGTAGAGGGGGCGATCCAGAAGGATGAAAGAACCTATACAAAAGAGAGGAAAAACAAAATCTCACAATCTGCCGACTCCAACTAAATATTCAAACGTACAAACGAAAAATAATGCAGGTGATTAAACAATGAGCTAATCAATTACACGTTATGAACCAAGTACAAACAAAATAGTGAAGAACACCAATGTGTTAACTTAGGGTTATATAACAGCTCGTAAAAATAATACATTATTTAAAACATGAATAAAAATCGCGATGCTCATATCAGCGTTGCTAGACTAAAAACTCCTACAGAAGTTAACTTACGAAAGCAATACTCACTACTAGTTGTTCCTCGTTTGGTTTAGATGTTTATGGCCAACGATTTACCAAATATAAAAACCGCATTTTAGTTACAGTACAACTGCTTTTTATTCAAAGTATACGACAACACCTGTTCAATTTCCTTCGTTGATGAAAATACTATTTTTCTAGTCAGATTTAGAGTACCGTCGGCGAGGGATCTCTCGTTCGTTCGCCAGGGACTCCGCAAACAAAACCGGCATTTGCTAAGAGACAAATGAGCCACACAACCAGTTATCCTCACTCGGCGCTAGCTGAAAAAAGAAGTGCCTTAAACGATTAGTGAAATGTTAATGCCGAGTTTGAGAATACACTGATGTGTTTAAATCAAACTGCCGGTTAGATAGTGTACGTCCGTGAAAATCCGCTAGCTAGGCTAGCCTGCGGTCTTGCGTTGTTTTACTGAAGTTCCACCAAGAAATACCGAACTAACCGAAGTTTAACACGTATTATAAATACCAACAGTAATACCACTCGTGTATCAATTTAAGTTTAAAATGATTTTAAACGACACTCAACATTTTTCTCGGCCACTGAAGTGTGTTAGCCAGTTAGTCAGCTAGTCTCAATTTAGCCAGTTCGCAACAACGAAAGGCCCAGGAAAAAAGACGACGGGCGGACTAAGACCGACCGAGATCTACATAAAACGTGAACACGCGATCAATTTCAGATTTCGCCGTACGAAGAACTACTAACAATCGTATAAAATTCGTGTAAAGCTCTAAGTTAGTTGTTACCTCTTTGAAATACGTTTCTTTTCCCGGTTTCCCCCGGTTCTTTTCACAGCGCCACTAAAGCCGTGGCTGTAGATGGCTAGCGCCCCCTCACGCGCAATGCCGCACATGCACACACACACACGCGCGCGCGCGCGACAGCTTCCGGTGATGAGCTCCACCTCGGAAGGACTGCGCTTGGGTTTCTTTTCGTGATCTTGACGTCACGCTTTGTTCCGACAATGGGGGGAGGGGAGGGGCCACAACGTTTTAAATGTTTAAAAAACAGGCTAATGTTATTTCCAAATTAAAGGTCTACGATAATCGCAAAGGTATTTAAATTTACAGTTACATTTTAACACCATTCACATATAAACAATTTAAAAACATAAAGAGAAAACTGAAATAGGATGCGAAGTAAATTCATTTGTACTAACTTCTAAGGCATTCATAATTAGTATTTTAAAACTATTTTGTGATTTTGAAATGTAAAAAAAAAAAAACCTTAAAATGGGACTGGCGTCTTGGTACCGTTTCACAGCACCCGGGTTTGGGATTCAAACCCGCCTCTTCTCTGTATAGTTTGCATGTTTTTCCCTGTGTCATATGGGGGTACGTTTCCCAAAAGCCATGCTGCTAACATGCAACTGAACGGTTCCAACTATTTAAGCTGCTAACGGGAGGGTTCCTCCTGCTGACTGCATTTATCACCATGTCAATATTAATTAGCTACCCCATATACCGACGTAATAATTATGCAATGCTTAGGCCTTGGTCAACTTTTTTTGATAGCTAAGGTTCCTTTGTTATGTTATGGAGCACTGTGCAGAATGGTCCCAGTTCAGATCTCTTATTTATTAATGTTTATTTTTTTATTATTTAATTGACATTCCTAAAATATTAGTGGTGGTATTAGTGTCATAAAGTTTTTTCCACTTAAAATACATATTCTAATATACTTTTATTCTGCTTGAACAATTAATTGCATAGTGAACACAAATTTGCACCTTTTGTACCATTCTTAAAGCATTTGCGTCTCAGAACTCAGAAATTCTTTGTTGGCTCAAAACCCACAAAGGAGACACTATTGAATGATAGGTATACAGGACTGACCTTCCTGAATTAAGCTTGTTCCCCCAAAGAAGAAACTCAGTCTTGTGTGGTGAATTACTTCTACAAGATCAATCCCAAGAAACGAATTTCATTAGCTATTCTGTCAGAATTACACATTCTGGGTGTGTGTGGAAATTGTGCAAGATTGCTCCTGCAGTCCAAAGACATATAGTTAGTCTAACTTGCATCTTTATATTGTGCATAGTTTGCAAGTCTATGTGCCCTCTGAAGGACTGGCATCCTGCTGTCCTGGGTGTATCCCAGCCTTGTGCTCTGTGATAGACTGGCATGCCATCCGGGGTGTACCCCGGGGTGTACCCCAGCCTTGTGCTCTGTGATGGCCTGGCATCCCCTCCGGGGTGTACCCTAGCCTTGTGCCCTGTTATGGACTGGCATCCCATCTGGGGTGTACCCTAGCCTTGTGCCCTGTAATGGACTGGCATCCCATCTGGGGTGTACCCCAGCCTTGTGCCCTGTGATGGACTGGCATCCCATCTGGGGTGTACCCTAGCCTTGTGCCCTGTGATGGACTGGCATCCCATCTGGGGTGTACCCCAGCCTTGTGCCCTGTGATGGACTGGCATCCCATTTAGGGTATACCCCAGCCTTGTACCTGGGATATCACCTGTAAATCTGACCAGGGTGAGAGTTGGGAAATGGGCACATCCAGGTCACTACTGGAGAAGCAAAAGAACAGAGGTGGAACTGAGTGCTGTTCTGTACTATTTATGATAAACTTTCCCATAATAATCCTATAAACTTGCTTATTGTATGTAATGAATTCCCATATTCTCATTTTTAATTTGTAGGTCACCTGCCCAGAAGGGTGACCACCAGCATGACTCTTAAAAGGACACCTGTGTCCAAAAAGAAGGACTAAGGCTCAGAAATAAGGACCCCCATGAAAAGTGTTGAGTGGGGGGAGTATATCATGCAAACACCATGAAAGCTGAGAACAGTACATCTATCGTGATATTTATCTCGTTATCTTGAGAAAAATGCATTTAAAAATTGAAAGACGCCCATTCTTGGCTTTCATAGTATGTGTGCGCATGTGTCTCACATTTCCCTTTGTTTTTGCTATGTACCAGGGGTGGGAGAGAGTGCCATTAGTAGTTGATGGGGAAGGAAAAAGAAGGGTAAGGGAACTAATTAGCCTGACAGCATGTTTTGGGAGTAGTAGAACTGTAAACTGTGGAACATGGATTCAATCCACTGACACTGGATATGTGAGGCAATAGAGCTACCAACCAAGCCACCATGCTGCTTAGTGTGTTTGTAACACACTATTTAATTTGACGATGTGAATTGACACTTTGCATGCTGAAGTAAACCTCTCATCATGCAAAAGGCCATACTATAAATGCAAAATAAATGCTCATGTCGTCTAATGATCTTTGCAGTAGGAGGAAATGTATATGTTGCCTTTGGATAAAGTCCTTAACTGTACACGCCTATCAGCTACATTGTGCAGGACCTAATGGAGACAGACTTGTACAAACTGCTGAAGACTCAGCAGCTCAGCAATGACCACATCTGCTACTTCCTCTACCAGATCCTTAGAGGCCTCAAATATATCCATTCAGCTAATGCAGGGGTGCCCAACTCCAGTCCTGGAGGGCCAGAGTCCTGCACATTTTTGGGTTTCCCCTCATTTAACACACCTGATTCAACTCCTTGTGCTAATTACCACACAGCTCTTCAGCTGAATCATTTATGGTGGAACAGGGAAAGAATAAGCTACACAGGGCTCCGGCCCTCCAGGACTGGAGTTGGGCACCCCTGAGCTAATGTGTTACACAGAGACCTCAAGCCCTTCAATCTCCTAATCAACACCACCTGTGACCTCAAGGTAAGAATTCCAGGTGACAGGATGTATCTCTTATGTATTGAGGAGGACATCCAACAGCAGTCAGGACAGAGGACTGGAAAACCGGAATGATTGAGATCTGGATGGATGGTCACCCTACTGACCAGTGCAGCTTTGGACTAACCACATCTTACACAGAGCCATTGTTATTCTAATACTGAAATTTAGTGTGACCAATTTGTAAGGCGTTTTTGTAAATATAGAAAGTTTTCAGGAGAACCCAACTTGTTTTTGAAAATATTCATTATAACTGCATAGCTTAAAAAAAATCTGGTAGCAAAGACATTACAAACTGAATTTTTCCTCTGAAAATACACCACACACTATAAAAGGATAATGAATTAAGAGAATACATTTCCATGAATATATATTAAACAGAAACTCTTAATTAAAACCATTATTTTCCACAATTCACTGGTTCCTGATAAAGTTTGCATTCTACCTTTGTCTCAAATATTCACATACATGTTTTCTCTTTTTACGTATGAATTATAATATGTATTTTAATTAGGTAAACAATTGCTATGTGAATAACAGATGCATAGATGTTAACCAATTCTGTTTTCTTTTTAGCATATTTGTTCACTGTATTTCATACCTAAACATTACATTCAAATTTTATGTGGAATAGTAAAATATAAGTATTTATTTGCATTAGAAAAAAGTAATAGGAAAATACCTTGACATTCATTCGTGCCCAATTAGTAATTTAAAGACAATCTTAACAGAAAATAATTATATACCAGATCATAATAATAATAATAAAATCCTAAATGGGATGCATGACATTATTTATAAGTTTTTGTGCAGAACATGTCAAAGTACAGAGTGGTATTTTAAAAGCAATTAAAAACATATGCTATATATCTTTTTTCTTAATAAAACAAAGAATCATATAGTGCAAGTTATTATAAGATGCATAAGTAAATATTTTTAAATCATTTTAAAAGCACGAATGGAAGAAGCAGCTTAAATGTGCATTTACATTATAATGAAAAGAGATTCTGTAGTCCTTAATCAGCAACGTTGTAATGAATGTTTGTACTTAGACCTTTGAAGCAGATAGAAAGTGCTGTGACATTTAAACTTGAGAACCGTGAATCCCAACTTCAAATGAGTTACTCCTGCCTTCACAATCAATTTCATTTGAACAATATAACCATATTGCTCTATTACTTATCGATTTCATTATAATATATTATGGATTTTTCACTTTCTTTCAGTCTTCATAAATTTTTTTTTAAGCTCTGACACCAACATTGGGCTGTCTGATCTGTGAAGAAAATGAGACAGAAAATCAAAATAAGATTTGTGGTAAAGGACACAGTGAAATCACTCTGCTAACTTTTGGATTTGAAGCAGTGATCTTTTCTTTTTTATCACAGGCTGATCATCCGAACTGTCTGTTCTAAACATCACCCAGTGGTTAAGGATTTTGCTCAGGGGTCCAAAGAAAAAAATCACTCTGCCTACTTTGGAAATCAAACCAGCAACTTTCCAGGCACAACATCCTAATTTGCAGAGGCACACACCACCCATTAGGTATTATTTAAAATAATTATAAAATGGATGGTAGATTGGTTTTACATTGCCTTTTTATTTGTATGAATATGCTATGTGTAGTAGCCTCATTCCTTCAGCAATGGGGTATGAATCTCCCTTGCTTTCTTTGTGTGGAATTTGCATCTCCTCTTTGTGATCTGTGGGTTTCCTTTATTAACTCTCCACTATCGTCCCTCAGTACAAACACATGAGTTAGGCTCACTGGTTTTTCAAAATCCCCTGTACTATGTTCCCTATAATGGACTGACATCCCATCATCCCTTCTGCTCAGGGGCATCAGGGGGGCATGGATACCTAGGCAGATTCAGGGGGCCCCTTAAACACATAAAATTATAATTAAAATTGGGCAGGGTGGCCCAGAATCTCTAGCTGTGCCCTGCATCTGCTGCCTGGTACAGACTCCAGGCACCCACTACCCAAACCTGGATAAGCCATTAGACCGGTTTTTGATAATCAGAATATAGTATCATTTTAGTACACCAGAAAAAAAGGAAATTATTGTCATTTCAGGTACAATATGAAATAATGTAAAAATATTTTAATATGAAACATTTAAAGTTCATAGTTTTCTTACCCTGGTTTTTCTGGCTGATTATTTTCAGTTTCATTCCGCTCTGCTTCTGATGTCTTTTAATAAAAATACAAACCTTGTTAGAAAATTATGATCATAAAGGTAATAATCAATTTTTAACCCAGACATCCTGTTGGCTGTGTTTTTGATACATTTATACTTTGAAGGCTCTATTTAAAACTATTTGGTTAATTCAATTACCAATTAACACTCAGTGAATCAGTCAGTCAAATCAATATAGTACTGATTTATAACGATCTGGAAAAAAAAAAAAAGCTGCAGGGATGGATGAATTATAACTGCGGTGGCATAAAAATTTTTAATAAGTCCAATGCTCTAACTTTGGTAGCTACTGTACATTGAATCTTGTCAGGGTTAGCACCCGTCTGTCTGAGTCTTTCGTGTCTTCTCCCTGTTTGGCCAGCAGGTGTCGCTGGCCATCCTGTCCTCCCTGTTGTCTTTAGAGTGTTTCCACTACTCACTTGACAGCTGCATATTTTGCTTTGAGCCTTGGTTGTGTTTTACCTGTCTTTATTATTCCCCAGTGTAAGATTCTGTTTCCTTTTTCTCTATCAGTTTTTAGGTTCCCTGTTCTCCCAGGTCCTTGAGTTAATTATTAGTTTCATCTGTTGCCTGTTCTTGTACCAGTCCTTGTGTGTTCAACCTGATTGCTCGTTGTCCTGCACCCTCCCTGACTGGTTAATTGTTTCATGTCTCACTCCTCCTGTGTCGTTACCCAGTTTGGTCCATTTTTGTTTTGTAGTGTTCCCAGTGTTTTTGGTTTTGTTAATAAATCCCTGTGTTCCTGTGAGCTGCCAGTGGATCGTCACCTCCTTTCCCCGCCTGCATGATGCCCCGCCCCCATGCCAGAACCGCCCGAGGCCATGACAGAATCTAGGCTCTTCCCTGATGGACACTGATCCATGAAAAATGTAATTAGTATTTTTAATAGTACTTAAATATTTCCCATAATCCAAATGTTTAGTACAGGTATCTTATATGGTTCCTAATATAAGTTTTGTTATGCATTTGTTTTGCGGAAAATAACTAAAACGTCTCTTTAAATCCTGGTGCAATTTCAATATGCGAAACAGTTTATAATTATTAAATAATTCAGATTCAATGAGAAATAAACTGTCTATTTTTCTTCCAGGATTAAACATACATGTTTTACAACTTTTTAAACTTTTCGCGATGAGTTCATCTGCGTTTCAGACAGAGTCGCTTAGTGGTCATGTAATGAACTGCATGTGTAGAAGGGCAAGAGATGCATAACGGGTAGTGTCGACCTTAAGCTCAATCTCAATTATATATAGGGTTTGTGTGTGTGTAAGTGAAATATATTTCAGCAACATGAGGTGCACCCCACTTCTTGTACTTTGGAAGGGAAATAAATTCATGTTATTGTGCTGCTAGATAGAAGTGCTTTGCGTTGTACCTTATGCATAAGAATTAAATTCAATGAAATAGCCTGAAACCCAACTGAACAGCCAGCCCTCCATCCTCAAGAAAAATCACAAGCCTCAGTTATTGAGGACTAAGAGAATTTTAAGAGAAACATATTCTTACATACTGAACCATGTGAAATATCAACTGTAATACTTACTTTACCCTCTTCACCTCTCATTTTACTTCCCCTTTCTGTCTTTCTGAGCATAGGAAAACCAGCACCAAAACCTGTTCAAATACAATTTGTAATAAGATAGAGGGCAGTTATCCATGTATGCTACAGAAATACAGCCACAAACAAGAAAAAAACATTAAAGAATCAATATGCTTTCTCGTACTTGGAAGTTTTATAGTGGACGGTCCAACACTTTTGATTCCCTTTTCCTTTGACTCTTCTCCGTTTCTCTCAGCTCCTCCCCCACTCGATGTATCACATTTACCAGGAGAGACTGTAGCATCATCTGTAGTCTTCTGAAAGATTTCATTTATTTTGGTCAATTGGGTAAACTAATAAATGAATAAATGGTTTGTGTTTTAGTCATGTAGAAGGCTAGTGCTCTGTCTTTGTGTTTTTTTTGTACCTCTATCAGCTTTACTCCTTTGTCTGTCTTCCTCAGGGCAGGCATTCCTGGGCCAAAACCTGAAGCATAAACTCAAAGCTGTGGGAAAAACTCATTCAATGGCAAAGATGACTGACCATGGTCATTCTCATACTCACTATTTTTACTCTCATTTCTTTGTTTTCTTTTATGATTCAAGACTCAAAATGAAAATATTAAAAACTAGGAAACTTAAAAATATATGTTTAACTATTACATACAGTGAATCTATGTCTCTAAATTGCCCCTAGTGTGTGATTGTGTTGTGTGTGCCCTGTGAAGGACTGCCATTCTGTCCCTGCTATCCTTTGCCTCATGTCCTGGCTTAATGTCATGCTGTATTGGATAAGCATTTGGAAAATGAGTGGATTGATCAATGCATGGATGGATATTTGGGATATATGGATACTTTGCATAATCTCCATGAGACCAGGTTGCTTCGTTTCACATTACTCAATAGTTACCTGGCAGCTTCACTCCAACAGATCCTGCTGCCCACTTTTTTGTGCCTGCTGGCTCCCTGTCCTCAGGACCAAGATTTGGGGTTGGTGCCTTTATGGTCATCTATAGGAATATAATTCAGTTCACAACTAAAGAATACTGGCAATTTATAAGTTCTACAGTATAAATCAACGAATCAGTGTGTTACTTATAGGTTCCTCAGGGTGTGAGTCACTCTAATAAAGGCTGAGTTATACACTGGTATGTTGCTAGCCTGCTGTTTTTGCCATGGTTGTTGCTGTTCATGGTGTTGAAAAAAAAAACTTTATGCTATGACTGCACGATATTGAAAAATTTCAGGTATCACAATGTGATTTTTTTTGTGATAAATATGTTTTAGCTAAATTAAACCCCCCACACTCAGCCAGCTAGTGTTTTGGTGGTGTAATTGCAGAGCAACACAGACACACCCTAGACGTGTAAATACCTGTCCTGTACCTTCTTCTCCCCTCTCCTCCACTCTTCGTTCTGTTTTCTTCAGTACTGGAAACCCTGCACCAATACCTGTACAGCCAAGCAGTAAGTACAAGGACGACCAATGAGAGAACTGCTGTGTATACTTCTGTAAAATGCTGAAGTAAGATTCCTGCAGTCAATTGTATAGAAGAACAAAATCTGAAGACCTCAGTACTCTCTAAATGTCCCTTACCTGGCAGTTTGAATCGCATCATCTCTACTCCTCCCACCTTTATTCCAGCTGGCTTTGTTGCTGCCTCCTCATCCAGTGTTGGTGGTGCAGAAGTGGGGCTTAAGGAAGGTATTTGGAGGAGAATGCGAGGGTCTTTGGGTGCGCGAATGTGGCGATTCTTAAGAGCGATTCGGGACTTTTGTGCAGTGAAATCCAATGAGGGTGAATCCAGCTGTAAAGGAGATGCTCTCAATTTCTTATCATTAATGAAAGAACACTGTATCCTACACATGCTGCTTGCAACTGCTTATTCTGGTCGGAGTCAGATAGTGGTCTGGAACTGATCCCAGTAAGCAAAGGGCATGAAGCACAGGACACACAGCATAGACAGCATAAGGTACAACGCAAAGACACACCCTGGATAGAATGCTATACACACGGCTCACACATCATCATGCACTACAGGCCATTCAGCGATGCCAGTTAAGCTAGACGCATGTCTTTGGACCCTGGGAGAACAGTACAGGGGGAGAACTTGCAAGCTAAACACAAAGAGCAGAAGTCTGAGAAAACAGAAACAATGGACCATGAAGCTTAACTTAAAATTCAAGATTTTAATAATTCTAACAACCTCTGACATTTTCTGATCATTTTAGCACTGTTAAAATGCATGCATGTGTTCTGGTAGAATTAAAGCATCACAGTCCCTTCGTTTGTCCACATAAGGACATTATGATTTTGCAGAGTTCTATGTGTCCCTAGGTCAACATGGGAAGGGCTTGCATTATTCTTCTTTAACCAATCACAGTCGTCATCGTATGACATCACCACATTTGCTATTTTTTTTCTCTCATTTTCAAACTCAAGGGTTGCCGCCATCAAGGAATCATTATGTGGCTCAACAAGCTAAGCCTATCTGCTTGTGTTTGCGAGGTTGCTGTTTCAAGCCTTGCTATTATTATTATTATTAACATTTTAATTATTATTGCTATTATCATCATGAAATAAAAACACACCCTTACATTGCTCCATACAGCCTTTGCAGGTAAGCATATTCCTATGTTTTGTCCACTCCCTTGTTTACCCAATGACACACTGAACTTGGCAAAATCAGGACATGAGTCCACATAAAACCTACTGCTTTAGCAGTAGAACTAAACTTCAAAAAAGTGGTTAAATGTTTGGATGATAAATCTTACCTGAAGGTTAAATTCTTCTTCTTCATTTTCATGGGTCCTTTTCCGAATTCTTTTTTTGCCTACTCCATCCTTTGTAATATGCTTTCTTCCCTCATTTCCATCTGTTTCTTCATTCACGATTATTGTTCTGGATTGTCCTGTACTTTCTGCTAACAGTTTCCTGTGTTCACTTGTTTTGTGCAATTTTGCATCACTGAATTGACTCTGAATGTCTTTTGCCTTTGTAAAAATTTCATCTTCTTCTAATTTTACACCCTTTTCGATTTTCAGCTGTATTTTTGGTCTTTGTCCTTCTGTTGTGCTCATTGTAGATTCATTGATATCCCTTCCACTCTCTGCTCCCCTTATTGCTCCTCTGTCCACAGCATACGGAGTGTCACCACTTTCACTCCTATCATTATTTATGGTTTCTTCTGTCTTTTCTATTGCCCATCCATCTCTAAGTGTAATACCCTCTGTTACAATGTTTGCACTAAATCCTTCGATAAGTTCTGATTTGGTAGCTGGAGCCACATTGAAATCCATTCCATCTCCCTCTTCCATTGTTTTTATGTCTACATTTTCATCTGACACATGCCCTTCATCTTTAGTTTCTCCTACTATCAATATGGTTGACTGTTTTTCAGGACATTCATTGTCACGTTCTTCCTTTTTGGTTTCCTGTTCTTCAGCTACTTTTAACAAATCAATTATGTGAGAATTCCTCCCAAAAATGTTGTCTTCATTTATTTGAGGTTCTACTGTTTGTTGCAAATCTGATTTTGTTTCATTCTCTTTGCTCATATCTAATGCTTCATGGAATATGTTGATATTCTCATAAGGTTGCACCTCTGTAGATATATCAAATATTTCATGTTCTTTTAACTCATAAACATTTTCTCTATGTTTCCTATCATCTCGCAATTCTGTCACTGAGATCTCTAAATTTTTTCCTTCTCTTAAATTTTGTACATTTACTTCACATGTTTCAGATTCTCCAACATCAATCCAGGATACTGCTACTTCTTCAATTATCTTACTCTCTTCTCTCCATCTCTCTTCATGGAGGATTTCTGTGTCTCTCATTCCCTCATAAACATTATTTTCTTCTTTTTCTAACTCAAATAATGGTATTTCCCTTTCTCCATCCTCTCGACTAGCTTTAATTACCCCAGATTCATCTCTGTCTTCTGTTACTGATCCTTGATTTTTGTTTTCTTCATCCAGCTCATCTCTCAGTTTGTCCACATCTCCTTCCTCTACTACCACAGATTCTCCAACATCCACCCCGGATGCTGCTACTTCTTCATTTATCTTACTCTCTTCTCTCCATCTTTCTTCATGGAGGATTTCTGTGTCTCTCATTCCCTCATAAACATTATTTTCTTCTTTTTCTATCTCAAATAAACATCTTTCCCTTTCTCCATCCTCTACACCTTCTACAATTACATCTGATTCATCTCTGTCGTCTGATAGATATCCTTGATTTTTGTCTTCTTCATCCAACTCATCTCTCAGTTTGTCCACATCTCCCTCCTCTTCTACTCTCTCTTTCTCTCTTGCAAATTGCCTCATGTCTAATGTGAAAACACCTTCTGGTAAAGTGACCTCGTCATTGCTTTTCTCATATCTTTGTGTTGCATTCTTTTCTACTTCAGCAGATTGTTCCTCTCTTTGGAACTTATCTTGTCCTGCCACCTGTGTTTTTCTCATCTCTTCCTCTCCTTCTCCTGCCATGATTGTTTCATCTTTTATTTCAGGTTCCATCAGCAGAAGCTTTTCTTGCACTTCCACCTCTACCACTTCATTCATTTCTGCTCCTCTATTCTCCTTCTCCTCTCTTACTTGGTCTGACTTTTCATCTTTCATACTGATCTCGGCTCCAGCTGGCTCTTCTTTGGAAGATCTTTCCTCTCTTTCTCTGTACTCCTCTCCCTCATGGTTTATATCATCCTCCCATTCTGTTCCTGATATGTCTTTGTTTTCTTCAGTGACTTTTTTGTTTGTTTCCACAGAATCTCCAACATCCACCCCGGTTGCTGCTACTTCTTCATTTATCATACTCTTTTCTCTCCATCCCTCTTCATGGAGGACTTCTATGTCTCTCATTCCCTCATAAATGATAATTTCTTCTTTTTCTGACTCAAATAAACATCTTTCCCTTTCTCCATCCTCTCCACCTTCTTCAATTACATCGGATTCATCTCTGTCTTCTGTCACAGATCCTTGACTTTTGTTTTCTTCATCCAGCTCATCTCTCAATTTGTCCACATCTCCTTCCTCTTTGACTCTCTCTTCTTCTCTTTCTTGCATTTTTATCTCTATCTTTTCATTCAGTTCTGCTCCTCTATCCTCCTCCTCCTCTTGGACTTTGTCTAACTCTCCATCTTCCATGCTGACTTCAACTCCAGTTGGCTCTTCTTTGGGAGATCTTTCCTCTCTTTCTCTTTCTTTGTACTCCTCTCCCTCATAGTTTATATCATCCTCCCATTCTGTTCCTGATATCTCTTTGTTTTCCTCAGCTGCTTCTTTGTTTGCCTCCACAGATTCTCCAACATCCACCCCGGTTGCTGCTACTTCTTCATTTATCATACTCTTTTCTCTCCATCCCTCTTCATGGAGGATTTCTGTGTCTCTCATTCCCTCATAAACATTTTCTTCTTTTTCT